CAAACCCTTCCTTCCCCCTCTCCCAGGGGCTTGCGGGTTTCGTCGCTTCTGCTGAGCCCGGTCCCTCAGCTGCACGGTCCCCAGCTCCCCGCTGCCGAGGCCTGCCCCGGGCGCCCTCCCCGTGGGAGGCAGCGGCGGGTTTGGCACCGTCTGTAACCCCCGTAGCCTCCCTGTGCAAACTCCTTGCCCCCCGGGGAGGAAAAGCGCTGCCTCGCCTGTTTGTGGTGGCGAGCGAAGCGCGGTGAGCAGGCTGGGGCTAACGGAGTTGTCTCTCTGCCTGGTGTTCCACAGGAATTCCCTTTGATGGTGGGCTGCGCTGCCTGTGCTGGAAGGTGGGTTTTGCTTGGGGCGCTTTTGTTTCTTGCCAGTGATGCTTTGGGTTGCTTAAGTGCATGCTATTTTGAGGCACTTAAAACTGTAAACAAACAAACAGAAAAATCCAGAGCTTAAAAGCCACTGAAAATCGACAGTAATTTGTGGAGATCAGCACTGGCATAATCACAATAGCATTTACCGTCACAGGACAGCATCAGTTTGGATGATAGAAAGTGGCTGTCTGCTCTCCGCATGAGAACAGCCCTCAGTATTAAGCTAGGAGTGCGTTTCAGTCAGGTGTAGTATTGATCAATCCTGCAAATGTGTCTGTTGAAAACCAGTCCCTGAAATATTCCTGACTGCTGCTTGGCAAAGTACTAGGCTTTCTGGAGAAAGCTCCCAGTATTTTCAGGGAGCCGGTTCTAGCCACTGCATTTAATTTGCTCGTCTTACAGGCATAACAGCTCATTCTCCAAATACTAATTTGTGTGCATCTGTCTTCTGTACAGATACTCCTGAACTACCTCCCTTTAGAGAAAGCCTTATGGAGCTCTTTGTTGAAGAAACAGAGGTGAGGACATGGATACTTGCTCCTTTATTTCTAATGATATCTGCAGAGAAGGAGAATAGTTCCTTAAATAATTAAGTACCTTCATAAAATGAATTCTTCTTGTGTGGAATGCACTGTTCTGTAGGCTGTCTCCTGGGTCTGGTCGATTGACCTCCTCAGCTGAACTCAACTGAAGAGGAAATCAAATGCCTTCTGGCTGAGCAGGGTGATACAGAGGGACCTGTTTGAACTCAGTCTGGGTGCTTACATTGACTTAATCTTCTGCTTCAATGTTAATTCCTCTTTTCTTCCTTAAGGGATCTGTATTCTCAGTTCCTGAAGGAAATGATTATCCAGCCTGGGATCGCCAAAGCCAACCTAGGTGTTTCAAGGGAAGATGTGACCTTAGAAGATCACGTAAGTGTTATTAAGCCTTTGTGTTGCAGAAAATTCCCCAGAGCTATAAACTGTTGTTCTGAAGTCTGGAGCCCTGGGCTGCTCTTGGCTCTGTTCTCAACTGTTTTGCCCTGCTACCAGGAGGGACGGTTCCTAGGTACCAGCCTGGCACTCGTGTCTTAGTAGCCTTCAGTGCGAATTATTGGCAAACCACCAATAGTTCTGAAGAGAGCTTATTTTTCAGCTATGCATATGCCTTCTCCCCTCCTTTGGGGCTAGCTGCCCAGGCTGTGGGTCCCCTAGGGAAAGGGAGAGGCTTACAAGAGGTATTTCTAGCAATGAGATGCTCTCCTGAGAAGTCAGATCCATGGGTGGGCTCAGAGCTGGCTAATCTGAACAGAGGATATAAAAAAGGCAGGAGAGTTAAGTTGGACTATGGCCTGGAAGACAGGACACTTACTTATTTCTATTTTCTTTCTTTTTTTTTTTTTTTAATTTATTATTTCCTGCATCCCTTGTCTTTTTCCTTCCCTGAAAGCACTGTTAAGAGTATATGTGTTGGGGGAGGGAGCAAAGTAACTGATCAGAAGAGACTGTAAAATGATACAACTGCTTCCATGACTTGTCCTGAACATTAACTTCTCTGCTAGCGTGCAGTCATCTGTGCTGCTGTGATCGCTGGAGGCCTTGGTGCTGTAAAACTAGCATGTTTGTAAAACTCCACACGTTGGCAGGTTACGGTGATCTTTGAATCTCTTGGAACATTGCTTCTTTTTTTTTTTTTTTTCTCCTTCTATTGGTTAGTTGTTAACTTTGCATGGATCTTGATGTGGAGGGGGAGTTAAGTTTGTCATATTGGAAAACTGGTCAGATACAGGGTAGGTTGTTCATAGTAATACGTATTTCCTTCTTCCTGGGCACAATGGTGGTGCTTAATCGGCCTTCTCAGATTGAGATAGAGGGGGATACTTGTAGCTAATAACTGCAGTGCCTAAGTGCTGTGTGGGTGGGTAACTCTTACCCTAAGTACAAAGACCATCTTTGTTGTACAGGTTGGACCTGCAATCAGGAATCTTGTTGACACAGGACAGGATACCTGATTTGGGAACAAAGTCATTAAGAGGCAGGTGAAAAGGGATTGGAAATGTTGGGTTCTACCTCTCTAAAGTGAACCTGCACGCTCACTTGTTTCACAAGCTCTGATCAGCTTCCTGCACACTGTGTGAAGAAACAACACTAAATGTAGCTAGTGAGAGAAAAAATTAAACCTGATGTGCTAGGAGTGTGCCGCTAATAGATGACAGAGGGACAGCAGAAATGTTATATTGTTTATATTTACTGAGAATTTTGATACACGTGAAACATGCTTGCTCTGTTTCTGTTGTTTATTTCTTTAGCCCCTCAATCCAAATCCAGACAGTCGGTGGAATACTTACTTCAAGGATAACGAAGTCCTTCTCCAGATAGACAAAGATGTCAGGTGTGTGAGGCATAATGGCTGAGGCTTCTGAACCCAAGTGGTTTGATTAACACTTTGTACTTTGAAAACGAAGTTTAATATTAAACTGAGCCTCCCATTCAACGCGGGGCATGTACTTCCTTCTTTTTATGCCTGATTTCCTTTTGTATCCATACTAGGAGGCTGTACCCTGACATGGCATTCTTCCAGCGCCCAACGGACTACCCCTGCCTTTTAATCCTGGACCCCCAAAATGAGTTTGAGACGCTGCGCAAGCGGGTGGAGCAGACCACACTCAAGTCACAGACCGTGGCACGAAACCGCAGCGGGGTTACAAATGTGAGGTCTAGGTGGGGGCTGTCCATGGGGCAAAGCATCTTAGCTGATAAGAGGAAGGGTGTTTCTCAGGCTTTTTTTCTGTTTCTCTCTGCTTGTATGGTGGAATTAATTGGGCAAATAATCCAGCAGGTACTATGCAGTCTGGTGGCTAGATAGCTTTGTAGAACCAGTTGATGTGCCTGATGGTTGGTAGCAAATTATAGATGTATCTAATTCTAAGGGTTATTTTTTCTTGACTTCCGGTGGAAGTTGGAGTTGCAGGAAGATGAGAGTATTGTGCTTGACATGTACCTTTCTGTATGGGAACAAAACATTGAAGGGTGGATTTAATGAAGTTGAATTTACGTAATCTTCCAGAACTGGATCTCATAAACCTCCAATTAGGAAAAGAGCTGGGTATCTGCTGAAATGTGTGTTGTCTCTTTCCTCTTTCACAAGTGTTACGGTACAAGTGCCACGTGCTGTTGGGGAAGGTGGCTTGCTACCACAACAGATCTATACTTTTCCTCATACGACTAACAAAGAAGTGGAACTGTTGTGGTTTCTTACTGCATGGGATCAAGTGATGCGATGATTCAGGGGAACTTTCTGTTGCTTCACAGACTGCTTTGTTCAGGGATAGCCAGCACTAGGACTTGACTGCCTTTGTGCTTCCTGAGTTACTAGTCATAGTTTATGTAAAAAAACCTACCTGCTTGGTATAAGCTGCCCAAATCCTCTGGGGGGCTATGTGTATTAAAAGCCAAGCGTGTCACATGTACAGAACAATCTGTGCCAGTTGGTTATCCTGAATCAGCCCTAGTCTTGCCTTGCTTTTCAGGTGAGCTCCCCTCTTAAAACGACACCGAATTCTCTGAGCGAGTACGAAGTTCTGCCCAATGGCTGTGAAGCTCACTGGGAAGTGGTGGAGCGAATCCTGTTCATCTACGCGAAGCTGAACCCCGGGATAGCGTATGTTCAGGGGATGAATGAAATCGTGGGGCCTCTTTATTACACCTTTGCTACAGATCCTAACAGTGAATGGAAAGGTGAGAGACTCTTTTCGCTGCTCAGTAACAGCTGTCATACTGCATGCTGTCTGCATAAAGAACTGTTTCAGGAATGAGACTGTCTTTAAACAACTCTTGTGTTGACTGATGGGGCCAAAAAACAAATACAGCAAGAGATGAGGAGTTTTGGGGACCACAGCAGATTGATAGAAACTGTATTGGCTGTGAGTGGTGAGGACATGGGAAGTGAGGGTTTTTGAGGGGTTTCCTGTTTGTTTTGCATGGATCTAAGTTGCATTTCGTGAAACTTAAAGTCCGTTTAGAAGCTCTTGTTTACTTGTACTATATATACCTGGTAAGAAAAGAATGGAATGGGAGTACTTTGCCTGTTGCTTGTACTTCATGGGAGCTCTGAGGGTGTGTGCTGATGGCAGTAAGAGCAGATGGTGTTCTTGGGCATAGATAACTGGTTTGTGACCCAGTGTCATGAAGACCTTGTGTTGCACGCAGGGTCTGTATTTGCAGTGGCTCTGTAGACATTTCTACTTTAAAAAAAAAAGCATCTCATCTTGTCCTGGACCAAGCAAGCCAAGATCTTTTGGGATCTGCTACTTGAATCCAGTACAGCAACCAGATTATGGAGCAAGAACAGTTCTCAGTCTGTGTGCTTCTGTCAGTGATGCTTCCTCTACTCCCATATCTCTTTTTTTAATCTTCTTTTTTTTTTTTTTTTTTTCTGCAGAACATGCTGAAGCAGACACGTTTTTCTGCTTTACCAACCTAATGGCCGAAATTCGGGACAACTTCATTAAGAGCCTTGATGATTCTCAGTGTGGTATCACCTACAAAATGGAGAAGGTCTACTCTACCCTGAAGGAAAAAGATGTGGAGCTGTATTTGAAACTGGTGAGGCGCTAAGTGTTTCTGAGTCTCAGTTGGAATGCAAGGAGTGGAGCTTAATCGTGCATTTAAATGTCAACCAATTTTGTTAAATTGTTACTATGCTTCAATAGAAAGGTTGAGAGAGTGTATGAAGGGCTTTGCCTATAGGGCATAGAGGCTCTCTTATCTATGAGCTGAAACAACCTCTCCTTGGAGTAAGCCTAGAGCGAACTGACACAGCAAGGCTTTTCCTCCCCTGCCTGACTGCGAAAGCAAACAATAGTCGTTGCAAAGCTGCCAGCTGTGAGTCCGAAGTGACTTGGCCATGATCCCTGGTCACCTGGGTTGAGATTTAGTGGGAGCTGGAGTCACTCTCTTCTAGTCATCAGGCAAAGCATGAGTTCTGCTGTAGAGTTCCTTGGAATTTGAGGTCTCTGTCTAAGAACAAAACAAAAAACAGCCTTCCTCCACGCACGCACTTCTGTTGCCACTGGCTGCCCTGACAACACTAACTTAAACTGCATAGAGTTGATTCCAGAAGTAAGGTGAAATCCAGCAAGCTGGACCATCCCACCCACCTAGTTCTATCATTCTCCTTCATCCATGGGTCTCTGAGTGCCTTGGGTTGGTGTGGTTTTTGTAGAATATGTAGAAGGCAGCTTTATTGAAAACATCTTCAGGTCTTACAGTTGGTGTGAAAGTCCAAGGAGAATTTGGAAGAGAAAGCTGTTCTTGTTACACCAACCTGCAGCAAATCACACTGAGAATTTTTTGTGTTTAGAAAAATCAGGATGTATTTCTTTTATAATCCAAAGGATGGTTTGTCAGCACAGTGACATGACCTGCAGCGTTGGCTGGTGGCTAATTCAGTGGGGAGAGAATAAACTGCTTACTGTTTGGCTGGCAGGAAATGGTCTTGGCCATGCAGCAGCTGGTCCTTAAGAATATCAGCAGGATCCTGAACTTGTTTGACCTTGATTAAACTTATGGTCCCTTGGATTTAACAGCAGAAAACAAGAAAGCTTCAGGCTAGAAGTGCTTACAGTGTGTACAGTGCTGACCATCAGTGTGAACTCTGTTCCATCTTTGTTTCTTTTTGTGAATAGTAAACCTTTTGATAAATACAGGGCTTCTGGAAAGGAGAGGAAATCCTGATAAAACAGGGCCTCTGCTAGCGGGGGAGGGCTGCAGCTTTGCAGATAAATGTTGTTCAAATGGGAACGTTAAAATTACTTGGCAAGTTTAACGGAACTAACACAAATAGTGCCTTTAGGAAGAAAAGCTTCCTTTCCTCCATGTTGTGGACAGAGGAATATTTTCTGGCTTGTCTGTAGACATGGTGCATGGCTGCACTGGAAATCTCTCAGTCTAGCTTGAATGTGAGAATCTTCAAAGGAGGCAGTGGGTTTGCTGATGTTGCAGTACGAGTAGGCAGCTTAGAGCAATATCGGGGTGGAGATGGGGATGGAAACATGGGGTGCATCTCTTACTCATAGGGAACTGGCTGAGAGCACGTATTCATTCTTTGCCTGGTGCATGTCTGACAGCAAGAACAGAACATCAAACCCCAGTTCTTTGCCTTCCGCTGGCTGACGCTGCTCTTGTCCCAAGAGTTCCTACTGCCAGACGTCATCCGTATCTGGGACTCCCTCTTTGCTGATGATAAGCGCTTTGATTTTCTTCTGCTCGTCTGTTGTGCCATGTTGACGTAAGTAAATAGGTAGCCTTCTTGCTCTTCTCTTTCCCCCCTTTACCTAAATCCATGGATCCAGGAGTCTTCTGTAGGCATGTGTTAAGGCATCTGGTGAATAGGTTATAGTCACTGTTCATAAAAGCCTCTATAAGGGCACAGTGTAGTCTGTTCTTGAAGTTCCTGTTTAAAGAGTGAAAAGTAGCTGCAAAAATTTCCATCTTTCAGACTAATCCGGGATCAGTTGCTGGAAGGAGACTTCACTCTGAACATGAGGCTGCTACAGGTAAGGATTAAATATAGTGGGCATGGGGAGCAATTTGAAGAGTCTTAAAATAGTACCGTGAGAGCAGATGATGGTATGAGAGAGTGTAAGCCTGGCTGAAGAAGTACCAGACCTTACAATATGCTCATTACTGGAAGTGTGAATCTTTTGCTTGTGTACCTATTCTAGCCTAGAGAGAAATTGTCATAGACTAGAGGTTTTTTTGCCATTGCAAAAAATGGCATAATTTTGAGTGAAGATGTGAAACCCTATGTAACTTATATTTGTTGGCCAGAGGCTTTTGTTTGGTTCCAAGATCTGTGAGAGCTCAAGGTTGGAAACACCTGCACTGCACAGCAGGATATCTCTGATTCTGCCAGTTCCTGCTTTGGGCTGTGTAAGATACTGGCTTTGATAAGGCTTTCTGGCACGAAGATAGCCGTTGTAGCATGCCAGCTTACTGTGCCCTTGGAGGACAAATTTAAAACAAAACAAAAAAACCCAAACCAATCCCCCCCAAAAAAAACTTCTTGAAGGGTATTGAGGCTCGGTCAGTTACAAAACAGGAAACTGTTAGCTGTTAAGAGAGTAACTGAACAGGGCAGTATGTTATAATAGGCAAAGAATGCTGTTCTCAGGGTTTGCTTTGCTCAAGTGAAACAGTGTATACAAGAAACGAAAGGCACTTACATCACTTTGTTTCTTTGACACAGGATTATCCTATCTCTGATGTTCATCTGATTTTGAAGAAGGCAAAGGAACTTCAAGATTCCAAATAGTCCATGAGCCTAACAAAAGGTGTCAGAGAAACTGTATGGCAGCGGATCCCAGGAGATGCCCCCATGCAGTGTGGTGCATTAAAGTTCCTAGTGGTCTCTGCAGGACTTCAGGTTTCACGTTTGGGCTACTGGCCACATCGAAGACTTCCTTCTACTCTATTTATTAGGTCAAGGACTGATTACTTCCCCATCTACTTGGGTCCTGCACTCCAGATTTTTTTCAAATCTCAAATGCCTCTGTGCTGCTAAAAGCAGTTCTTTGTATCTTTTTTTAATGACTCTAAGTTTAGGGGGAAAGAAACCATCTGGCTGCATATCCCTGAAGGGATGTACTCCTGTACCATGGAAGTAACACATGGCGTAACTTCTGATGGGGAAGGGACAGGCTGAGTCCAGTGGTCTCTGGTGGGTGAGTATAGAAGGATCTTCCTACTGTGAACAGAATGTATTCCAATGAAGTCACACATCCTGCCATTCAAGTAGCTTCTGGATTCTTCTCCCTTGTGTCTGCACTTGGCCATCCCTGTGTGCAAAGAAGACGACTGCATCAGCTTCTGGTGATTGTCATCTGACATCTGGCAGTTTGGACCCCTTTGCCTGGGAAAGAGATCTTGAGAAGCTGAGATGGGAGGACACGATTACAGCTGGTGGCTCTGTGCACTGAAACTGCGTGAATCCAGAATCGCCTTATCAACAAGGTCTCCCTGAAAGCAACACTGTAGTGGTTTTAATCAATGAGTGAAGTGTAGTTTGAAGTAAAGCCTTACTACGCACAGCCTTAGAGCAGGAGCTTGTTGCTGCAGGGAGGCCTCAAGCTGCTTTCCTGGCTCTGGACTGGAGCACATCCAGCTACAATGAGGATTCTGAAATACAAGAAATGGGCATCTAATTCTGCACCATGAAGACAGCCGTATTTAGGGGCTTACACAGGCATGGCACTGGGGTTTTCTGCCTCAGTGGCTTGCATAATATTGCCCTGCATAAGCTCTGGTCACAGTAACCTTGAAGAAGACACGGTACAGGTCCAACCTACAATTAAGACTCCTTTTCTGTTGTATACCAGACATACAAGCATTTCAGTCATTACCTGACTGCTGGGGCTGATCCCCTATTCTGTGTACCGGTCCTGTTGGAGTCACAGTCCCGAGTTGGACACTCATCCCTCGTGAGAGGGAAACTGCTGCATTTCAAATATGGTGGAGCAGGCTCAGGTGAACATCAACTAAGACAAACTACAGAGAGAACTGCTAACCTGCTGGCAGTGTCAAGCTGATCAGAAACCATAATCCTCAGAGGGAGAAACTGCCATCACCCAGGTGCTTGGGTGGTGCAGAAGCTCTTGAGTGAACACTAATCCAGCGTGCTTTTCCCTTTCTTTCTGTGCTGTGCTGGCTCACTTCTGCATAGCTGTTTGACACTGCAGTTTTTGGTATTTATGGGTATTGATTTGTTAAAGGTCAGTGTTCTTTGTAAGATCTGTTTAAGCTGCTGATGGCCTAGAATTGCCCTAGAAGGAGGGATGTTGTCAGCCTTCAGCTTTTTTACTAATGTTACTTTCTTCACTGAAGGCCAGTTCTTTACAGGCTACGGTAATTCTCACAAAGGTGAGTGGGGAGACTAGAAGGCAAATTGATGCATGTACCAATTTTCTTTTTGGCAATCCCAAGCAATCTCTGCCTCTTCAGAAGGTGCTCGAGTAACTCTGGTACAGCCAGGTGTTGCTGCTGTGGTGGAGCAAGAGCAACTGAAGACTTAAAAACAATCTGTAATCAACTGTGGCTAACAGTATCCCTCTCTGCTGCAATCCTTTCTAGAGAGTAGTGTTTTCTTCCAAGAAATACGGAACCAATAGACCAGGACAGCTGTGTGATGAAGCATCCTGTCTGCTCTTACCACTGGATAAATGTTCTTCCTGCCTTGTATCGCTGAGCTATTCCAGGTGGTCTCATGGTCACAGCTCTTGGGTACTCTGCACTAGAGAGGCCAGTTGTCAGACATCATATGGCCAAATGGCTAGCTGGTAGGCGCAAATGTAGAAACACAGGATCTACCAAACACTTCTGCCTCAGAACTGCTCTAAATACTGCTGTAGCTCTCTTACATTCCATGCACAAGCTCTGCTTGCGCCTCCCCAAATTCCTGGGCTGTCCATTTCAGGTCCTCCTGGCAAGTGCAGGGTTCTATTAATGCTCTTCTCACAGGTAACAGGAGCATCCATGAGCGTTCCTGCTCTGAACAGCTAGAAGTCTCCTTAAAATAAGAAGAGAAGAACCAGAGAAGGGAGCAGGCAAATCAGGATTAAAGCATTTCTTGTAGATGAACAACTGCTTGTTTTCAGAGTAGCGTTCGGGCCCTGAGGTTGACCTCCTGCAGTGGCATTGCCCAGCTCGGAGCCAGATGCTGGTCTGTAGCACTTGAGGAAGACACGGGAGGTGGCTACTCAAGTAGCAGTGCAAGTTTCTGTCTGGGTACAGGTGTCATGCTGTCTTCTCCCTTTGTAAGGAGAAGGGCTTACATTGTGCCATCTTGCTTCTCTTTAGGGGGTGATGGTAGATCTTTTAAAAAGGAATCTGCAGTGGTTTAATGGGATGCGATGAGAGCTTTGGCTGCTGGAAGGGTTCTCTGAGGTAAATTCTCTAGCCTTATCCAGACTATGGCTGCCAAACTGATTGCCGCCTTCTTTGGGGATAACTTGTAACAACTTTGATACACCCAGACAGGCTGGTTCTTATATGAAAAGCTGTTTTATATTCTTCCTTATCCCCTCCCGGGTGGTAGGACTTGCTGTTGAAAGCAGTTGTACTTTTCAATGACTTGGGACATCCATTTTTTTATTCCAAGACTTTCTTACTTCTTTAAGACCAAAACCAGATTTTCTGAGGGGAGAAAAGAAAGTCTTAACATGTAACCAGCTTTTGAATCTCCTCGTGAGTTTCCTTGGCTTCATTCCTCAAAGGCTTTAGGTGGTGGTTTTGTTGTTGTGGAGGTCAGATGGTAATTCAACTAGTGGTTCTTTGCTTGTGTGGCCAAGTAACAACTGCTCCACCCTTCAGACATTTCCACCTCCGATTTCTTTCAATCCTAATCTGCTGTGGGAGCAGCAAGGTTGGCTGAAGTGGCAGTTTGTTCGGTTGAGTGTTAGTCTGGGGTGCCTTGTTTCATAGAGGCATAAACAGACGATGTTTAAATAGCTCTTAGAATGTGTTCCTCACAGACGGGGCTACTGCCAGGTGGGGGAAGGGGACCCATCTTCGTCTGGGAGGAAAAACAGGACACTGTGCTGGATTCAGGGAGAAATGAGCTTTCCCTGGGATGAAGAGGTCTGTACTGGCACCTCGCTGTAATTCAGGCTTTGGGAAACTTTGTGGCTTTGCCAATGAGATAGAAGCAACAGAATAATAGAGATCAAGTCTTTGATGGTAGTCACTCAGAACACTGATTTTGAATTTTGTGACCTAAGCTAGAATTATTCGCACTTTGGCATTGAGCAGAATGAAGGCCAGAAGTTGCTTTGGGGGGGAGTCTGGGGTGTTTGGGAAATCAGAGACTGTTTTCCCTTAATGAGTGTCAGTGACTTCATTTTAGCCATTTGGAGCGCTCTTCTAAAATACCATTTCCCCAAAAAGAGGAACAAATAACACTTTTTTTTTTTTTAACCTTGTCTGGAAAGAATTGCCAGAACAGGGTATAGAGAACACTTAATCACTCTCAAACATCTCCTTTTATGCTTCTTTTTAAACACTATTTTTTTTTTTTTTAATAATGCTTCCTTTGACTAAACGGGTGGCTTTGTGCAAACATCTCCTGTTGGTGACGGGACTCACCGTGCTGAGCTTGGAGTCGGTGCTGCTGCAGGGGGTGACCGCGGTAGTTCTAGATGTCCGCGGTGGCTGGGGGGAGGCCGCTGGGCCGTGGCAACCTGAGCCCCGGAGTCTCCTCCCTGGCAAGGTGGTTTTGCTTTTGCCTCCGGCAGGGGAGCGGTGGGTTTCCTGGGGGTAAAACGCCGCCCAGGTCACCCTGCGGCCGCCCTGGCTGGAGGGGGAGCCGGCGGCAGCGGCCAAGGGCAGGCCGCG